TTCCAATTTGGAGGTTTTTTATTCATTTGTTTGGATCTTTTCAACATTTTCCTGTCCCATCATACATTCAGCTTTGATAGCATGTAGAGGTACTGAAGGCAGAGGACATGCTAAGGTTATCCTCCTCTGTGTTGGATCAACATGAGTTTGTCAGAACAGACTTGATGATGAGTCAGAAGAATCTTACCTAACAACTATCTTGCTTTGAAGAGAAGGGATAAGAGGGAAGATGTAGAAGGGCATTTTTTTATGCAGAGAATAGAAGGCAAGAAACTATGTGACATTCCTGGGTTATAAATGTTATTTCCAAATTGGTTCTATCATAAAAAAACATGGAAAAAATATTAAACTGCAAAAAAGTTGTTTTTGTGGGACATCCTGCAACACATTTTGCTATAGTTTTTCAATGAATATCTTATAGAGTCTCAACCAATTCAACATAGTTTGTGGCACCCACAAAAACAAAGTTTCTGCAATATAATAATGACTTTCAAAGTATGTACCACACAATTAAACAGGAAAGAACACTTTCAAACTAGGAACAGAAAAATATTCAAATTTTGTTACATAGTGTTATCCATGAAGTTTGTCACACAGCCTTTATTGGCATACAACAGCAAAATCACAGCACAGGCATATACAACAAGAGAAAGTCATAGATAACAAGGAAAACATACTTCTAAGTTATCTGTGAAGTTAAAGGCTGGAACAAAATAAGCATAAGGAGGGGCTGCTCCACTATAAGGAGCTCCAAGAAGATTTCTATCCAAGGACGTGACTCACTTTGTCGTGGAGAGATGTGACCAGTGGTGTGCCACAAGTTCTGTCAAAGGCCCAATGTTGTTTTTCATCTTTATAAACTACTTGGGTGATGGAATAGAGGGGATGTGTTTCAAATGTTCAGAAGACATCAAATTAGCCAGGGTGTCTAATGCCCTGGAGAGCAGGATAAGGATTTTAAATGACTGGCAAATTGGTGAACTGGACCAAAAATAATAAATTAATTTCAATAAAGATAAATTACTGCTTAAGAGGTTAGTGGATCTCTACTACTTATGTTAATTTTATCACCTTTCTTTTAAATGTAGGTACATGAAATTTTGAAGCGCACGTATAGTACGAAAGCAAAAAACAGCATGGGTAAGAATATATTTCCTTTTTTAGTAGACACTTTGTTTGAGAGGTTTTGGTATCCATGTTAAATGTATCAGAAGCTTCTAAAAGCACAAAATTATCCAGCTAAGTGTTTTCATGGCAGTATTCATATTATACTATCCACCTCCATCAGGCAAATGAATGCATTTTCTGGTTTTATTATTTTTATTTAATTTTATGTTCAGGTAAATTATTGGCAATTGCTATCATTATTGAAGCAGAACAAGATACATATTGTTTTATTATTTATTTATTATGGGGCCTGTGCATATAATATTTGTTTGTTTGTTTATTGTGTCAGAAGCGAACTGAGAATGCAGCTATAATGTATAAAAAACCACAAAGTTTAAAACTTGGCATTATACTAATCAAGCTGACCAATTGCAACATTCACACTTGCTTTAAACAAACAAGAGTTCTTTCTTCCACCCTGGATGTTCCACAGATATATAAATCCCACTTACCTAGTAGTTTCCAACAGACTTCACAACCTCTGAGGGTGCCTGCCATAGATGTGGGTAAAACATCAGGAGAGAATGCTTCTAGAACATGGCAATACAGGCTGAAAAACTCACAGCAACCCAGTGATCCCAGCCATGAAAGCCTTTGACAACATGAAAGTATAGTTATTTGACAACACGCGGAACAATTTGTTAGTTATGTGTATCAAAACAACAGCAAATTCAAAATAGCAAATGTTCAAGTGACATATAGATTACATCCTAGAGAAACACCAATACTATATGGAGAAATGTAGGTATAAAGATTCTACATACAGACAATCCCCAAGTTACAGACAAGATAAGTTCTGTAGGTTTTTCCTTAAGTTGAATTTGTATGTAGGTCAGAACAGGTACATTTTAAAAGTGCAATTCCAGCCCCATATATATCTATATAAATAAAAATGTAATGCTCGTTTGTGAGATTAACATAACTCAAAAACCACTGGACGAATTGACACAAAATTTGGACACGATACACCTATCAGGCCAATGAGTGACCATCACTCATAAAAACACTGAAAAACAGCGGAAGTGACTTAAAATCCAAAAAAGCAAAAAGACACTACAGTGCATATGCAAAAATGACTACCCCAGCAAACAAAACACACAATAGCATATCCACACTCTCTTCCAGACTACCACTCCCAGCATCCCCTAGACTAGGCCTTTTGGCAGAGGAGGATGATCCAAATGCACTGCTTCCAAGCTGCAAGCTTTCTTCTCCTTGGATTTCTTTGAGAGCATCCCAATCCCTGCATATTTCCAATTTCCTATTCGTGGACTGCAACTCCCAACAATCCTCCAGATAGATAGATTAGATAGAGATAGATTAGATATATATATATATATATATATATATAGAGAGAGAGAGAGAGAGAGAGAGAGAGAGAGAGAGATCAGGAGGACTGCTGGGAGTTACAGTCCAAGAATAGGTATAGAAGGAAGAAAGGGGAGAAAGAGGAAGAGAAAGAAAAGGGGGGAAGGAAGGGAAGAGGAAGAGAAGGAAGGAGAGAAGGAAAGAAAAAAAGGGAAGTAAAGAAAGAAAGAAGGAGAGAAAGAGGGAGGGGAGGTTGGCTACAGCAACGCGTGGTGGGTATAACTAGTGTGTATATAGAAAGAGGGAGGGAGAGAGAGAAAGAGAGAGATTTCACCTCTCTTTCTGTCCTTGTTATAATTGGATTTTGAAAAATGTGGCTTACTGTGGAAACAAGGATTGGTGAGAAAGCTTCAGTGGAGACACCTTTTCCCATGACAACAACTCTTTCAGGAGTTAATTTCCCTTCCTAGGAGTAGATTTCTCTCACTTTGTGTTGTCTTACCCCCATTCTTAATTATGAGTCATATGTAAGTCGAATGTTTGTAACTTGAGGACTGCCTGTAATTATATCTTTAAAATATATTATGTATTAGAGGGAGGAATTGAAACAGAGGAGAAACTTGTCACATTAGAGATATTAAATTACCATAGCTTTGAATAAAATTAATTAGGAATTATTTTTTTAATTTTTTTTCTTTCTCTCTAGGTATTAACACACTAATAGCAAACAATGTATATGAAGCTGCCTATCCGCTTCATGATGTAAGTATCTGTTTTTTTTTAGTCTTCATTCTTGTCAAAAACGAAACACCTTGTTGGCATATATTAAGTACATTTGGGTTTAAAATATTGTTTTCCTAAGGGCTCATCTACACAGGCCACAAAATCTAGGACTGATTTGGAGAGACAAAATACTGAACCAACCCAATGGGAGGCTACAGTCCCATCCAGACAGGCCCATATCCCAGGACCTGTCTGAGTATTTACTAGAGGCATCCAAATGACGTCTCCAGTAAAAACCAATTAATTTGGAACAAACCAGGGTGGCCTGCAATAAATGGCATTAAATGTTTTTAATGTTTTTAATTGCTTGTTATTATTGGATTCATTAGATAAATGTGTTCCAATTGTTCTATTTGTATATTTAAATCTCTAACTGGTTATTTTTGAGTTTTTATAAGTATACTTTGATGTTGAATATTTGACTGTCTATGATTTGATGTGTTTAGTTATGTTTTTCTTGGCGCTGAATGGCCAGCTTTTGTTGTAAACTGCCCTGAGTCCCTTCTGGGAGATAGGGCAGACTAGAAATAATAATAATAATAATAATAATAATAATAATAATAATAATAATTGGTTTGTCCCAAATTAATTAACTACTTGATAAGATCCAGATCTTAAGGTAAGATATGGGTCTTACTAGGTGTGGATCTTGTCTGGATTGGGCCCAGCAATTGCATCATTATATTCCACCCAATGACTGGATTTAACCCAGAAACTGGAACTTGTATTTTGATGGAAACCAGGAGTTCATTTGCAATGTTGGAGCTAGGTGCCAACAGCACCCATTCCTAGAGGAGTCTGATCTTGCTATGTAACAAAAAAGCACTGGTTACATCCTGTTTTGATAACTGTAATGTAGTGCTCAGGGGACTGCATTCATTGATTGATTGATTTACTTACTTACTTACTGTATTTGTATACCGCCTTTCTCAGCCTGCAGGCGGCTCAAGACAATTCGATGCACACAATATCATAAATACAATTAAAAACATCAATATATAATATAAAACCACAACAAATCAATGAAACAAAAATTGTTGATGTCTCCTTGTTTAAACATTGTCCAGCCCATCGTCTAGTCCAGGGGTCCTCAAACTAAGGCCCTAGGGCCGGATACAGCCCTCCAAGGTCATTTACCCGGCCCTTGCTCAGGTTCAACCTAAGTCTGAAATGACTCGAAAACACACAACAACAACAACAACAACAACAACAATCCTATCTCATCAGCCAAAGGCAGGCCCCCCACTTCCAACTAAAATACTAATAAGTTTATATTTGTTAAACTGTTCTTAATTTTAATTGTTGTATTGTTTTACAAATATACAAATAAAATACGTGCGGTGTGCAAAGGAATTCATTCATGCTTTTTCAAATTATAATCTGGCCCTCCAACAGTTTGAAGGACCGTGACCTGGCCCTCTGTTTAAAAAGTTTGAGGACCCCTGGTCTAGTCATTTCACTTTTCTATGTCAATTACTCTGCATTTGCAAGCGCTTGCTCAAAAAGCCACGTCTTGACTTTTTCCCGAAATTTTAAAAGGGAGGGCCACTTTTGAAAAGTGCTCAGAAGTTTCAGTTGGTGCAGAGAGCTGCAGCCAGTTTGATAGCTATGACTGACTACAAGTAACACATAATTCCCTTGCTGCTGCTGCTGCTCCCCAATTGCTAGTCTGTTTCTAGGCACATTTTAAATTGTTGTTTATGATTTATACATTTTTATACAACTTGGATCCAGGCTATTTAAATGACCCTATTGCCCTATATCAGCTTGTTTGAGCTCTGAAATGTTCAAGAACCATGTGAAATAGTTATTACTGATCATTTAATTATAATAATGTATTTTAATACTTAATACTAGAAATATATTTTCCCATTCATTAGGGATTCTTTGCCTGTTTTTCTACATTTTTCTCACCTTTCTCACCATCTTTTTAGGGTGAATATGAAGATGAAAACAAAGAAATGAATGACAGAAAGGTAAGCCATTTTCAGTCCACTTTGGTGGATTCATAGGTGTTGACCTGTTTCTTGCAGATAACTCTTTACAACACTTTTCTCATATTTCCTTCAATATCTGCTAATCTGAGGGATACTAACTCACTTGTCATATGGGCTGCCAAAATTGCCATGCATCAGTCAATTCCATCTGTAGCTCTTTAGATGCCCTGGCGATATCCATTAGGTGAAGCTGAAATGTTAATTTGCATGTGGTGCTATGATTCTCAAAATCAGTCAACCTTTCATTGTGTTCTCCAATTAATAGCTATATATTCCTCTATAATAGCTATCTATTCCTCAAATAATTCACATATACCATCCTGTCCATCAATGATCTGTGGAAACTCGGGAAAATATGTAACTGAAATTTCCTTTTGAAGACGTAGTTTTCTGATTATGTTCATAAAAATGTATTTGTTCTTGCAGATAAAATGATGGCTAACACCTGTTCCTATGATAGCCAATGCACTTTAGAATATGGCAAATCCACACTGAATACCATCATTCAACTTTAGCATTTTATGAAACTGACAGTGCCATATGTATGTGCATGAGTATAGTTAATAATACTTAGAACTTGTTGCAAAGTGTCACTTAAAAGAGTAGTTTTAGCACAATATAATGGAAAGAAATGAGAGCACCTGGATCTGTTCATACTTTTTTTTAAATGATCTTTCATGTTTTCTTGTCATAGGTGGTGTATAATCTATATATACACTCACTAAATTCACCAAATTCAGTTCAATGCCATGACATTTTTCTTGAATGTTGCTGAAGATATTTATTCCCTGTGTTCATTGGTTTTTTTTAAAACTTCTGCATCATATTGTTGGCTCATATTCAACTAGTTTTTTTTACTAAGGCCTCATCACACTGAGAATGAATCCACTTTAAATCCGGTTTCTGCCTCCTGCAGAATTCTGGGGTTTGTAGTTTAGGAAGGAGCCTTTAACAGCCTCACTAAACTACAAACCCCAGAATTTTGCAGGAGGCAGAAACTGGATTTAAAGTGGATTCATTCTCTAGTGTGATGAAGTGGTAAGACACCAAGATCTCTTTCACATGGAGTGTTTTCGAGCCATATTTCACTTAACCTATATGGGTGCAATTCATTTTTTTCTGCCTAAGTATAGTCTCCAACATTTCTCATTTCTGAAATTCATTTTGTTAGTTTTGGCCCAGCTAAAGTCTGTTAAAGTCATTTTGAATTCTGATCCTGTCTTCTAGAGTATTAGATATCCCTCCCAGTTTGGTGTCATATGAAAACTTGAGAAGTATGCCCTCTAAAGTTTCATCCAAATCATTAATAAAGATGTTAAATAGCATTGGTACCCAACTAGTCACTTCTTTCCAAGATGAATCAGAACCATTGATGAGCCACGTTTGGTCACTCAAGCAATTACAAATCTGCCTAACAGTAGTATTTTACTAGTTTGTTTGCAAGAAGACTATGGGGGATTTTGCCAAAGATTTACTGAAATCAAGATATGCTACATTCACAGCACTCACTGCATCTACCAAGCTTGTAACTCACTTGAAAAAAATAGCACATTGTGAGACGGGGTGAGCTCCCATCTGTCAGCTCCATCTTCCCATGGGACATGAGAGATGCTTCCCACAGGATGGCAAAACATCCGAGCATCCCCTGGGCAACATCCTTGCAGACAGTCATTTCTCTCACACCAGAAGTGACTAGCAGTTTTTCAAGTCGCTTCTGACACAAAAAACTAGATTATTACAATGTACCTAACATAACAGATTGCTAAGATACAAAAGGCTTGTGAACCCCCAACTATAATGAAAAAAGAAAAACAATAAACAGAAAATACATTAACTACCTTTAACAATCTAGCAAAATTCAACTACACTTTATAGTTACCAAAACCATAGATGGCTCCCAGTCATACAGAAAGTTTTCAATTGGTTTGTCTTTTAAAATCTTTATCAGCTCTGGAAAATTGGCCCCTTAACAAGCAATTCAAACAATGTTCTTGTGACAGTTATTATATATTAAAATGTATAGGGTCAGAGGAATTACATCTGTTATCAGATCATTTTATTTCACAATGGTATTCTTTGATTCTCAGGAAGATTGAAACAATTGGCCTGTGTTTGGAAGTACTTTTAATACTCACAAATGTGGAAGCCCGCAAGTCATTCAAGAACAGACTTTTGGATCTTCACTTTCATAATCTGACTCTTGCAGCAAAAATAACCTGTCCCCCTACCACACTATTAATTCCATGCGAGCATGGAGTCGTGGCAGCATATCTTCACATTTTGATTAATCCCACCCAGAAGAGAGTTTTGGCTATTGCAAGATGTATCAAGTTGCCATTAGCTTTTTTGAATTGGAGATATTAAAAAGTGGAACATTCTAAAAGGGTTTGTTCTTGTGACTTGGTCTCCGTTGAAACACTTCACCATTCTTTGTTTGTTGGCCCCAAACATAATAATATAAAGGTGAATACAGGAATTCCATTTTTTTCACAGCGTTCTCAATTGCAAGGATGTTATAAAATTCCATATCTTCTGACCATCTAAAATAAGTAATCTCACTGGCCATAATCTTGGAAGGTGTTTGGAGAAAAAGGGAAGTTACTAGGCCTGTATGATTTAAAAAAATGGTTCAAAACTCATTTTGGATGTAGGGGGCGCTGGTGGTTCGGATCTAAAGTCAATTCCGATTTTCACAGAAAAAAATGTTCAAAACTTTGCAAAACTTCTGAGACTTCTGAATCTTTTGTTAATGGTTTCAAAGTGTTATTTCCTGTTTCATTGGGTGATCTTTACTTTGAAAGTAATTGTTTTACTCCAGAAGGGGGGGGGCAAAGGGAAGAAATTCATCCACTCTGATTAAAACCACTTATCTCGCTTAAGACTGAAGCAGGAGGGAAAGGAAAGGAAGGGAATTCATCCACACTGGTTTAAACTGACGCGGATCCATCCAAACAGGTTAAAACCGCTTCTCTCGCTTAAGACTGACGCGGGAGGGAAAGGAAAGGAAGGGAATCCATCCACAATGGTTAAAACTGATGCAGGAGGAAAAGGAAAGGAAGGGTATCCATCCTCACTGGTTTAAACTGACACAGGAGGGAAAGGAAAGGAAGGGAATCCATCCACACTGGTTTAAACTGAGTCGGGAGGGTAAGGAAAGGAAGGGAATCCATCCTCACTGGTTTAGAACGCTTCTCAAGCTTGAACTGAGGCCAGGGAACAGAAGAAGGGGGAAAGCTAAATCATTTCCGATTCACTTACTGATTCATAAGAGAAATGGCAGAAAAAGCTTCAGAAGGGCAAAGGAACTTCTGGTTTCCTTAAAAACTTTGAAATCGCTTCAAAAAGGAAATCTTTCTGAATTTATTCCGAAATACGAAGATTCTGACCGAACCTAACCATGTCTAGAAGTTACATCAAACTAGAGAAGGGAAAATATTGTCCCCACTTTTTAAAAAAAGAGGACCCAAACAGTTTCTGCCCAGTCAGGCTGACATCAGTACCAGGAAATATTCTAGAGCAGAGCACTGAATACACAATCTGTAAACATTTAGAAAGGAATGCTATGATCACTAAATGTCAACATGGGTCTCTCAAAAATAAGTCAGACCAGACTAATTTCATCTCTCTCTTTTATAGAGCTACAAGCTTGATAGATGAAGGGAGTGCTGTGGATGTTAATCTTAGCCTAATAGCTTTCACCTCCTTGGAAATCCACCAAGACCCTTTCTCATCCTGACAACCCCAACATTGATTTGAAGCAGCATTTTTAATTACACGATCATCATTCTTACATAACTCTAAGTAAAAAGTCATTTTCTCCAGCCTCTTTGTCTATATCTCTTTTATCATGTTTAAATAGCTCTTTGAGCTGTACATAAGCAAATCAATTAATTTATCTGTCACATTAAAAAGCATCCCTATTCACTTAAGGTCCCAACTATCTTGTTCTAAACACAGAAAATCCTTGTAATATCACAATTTCTGATTTTTGACCAAAACTCACTTTTTTTTATCCATTATTTTGAGGACAGGTTGCTGCGTGGAAAATGTCACAATTTCTTCTGCTCTTGCTTCTTTACATGTCCTGCTTGCAGTGGTATATACCTTCTGACATTAAATATCACTTTATTATTGTGTTAAGAAGTCAGGGTGATACGTTGTTGATCGTTTCTGCTCAGATCCATCACCATTGCTGCTTTCTTGAACAAGCGACTTCCCAGCCTAGTCACACCAGAGAAGTCACTTGCTTAGAATAGGGTATCTAGTCTGGAAATCATTGATGAGAAGATCACCAGGACTACCTTCTCGTTGTGGATTACATGGCTGGGCACATCATTCTGATCATTCAAGGCAATGACTTCCCCACTGGGGCTTTGCTGCCAAGCAGTTTGGGGGAGAAGGAGAAATTAAAAAGGCGCTCATCTGAATTTATGATGTCGACAACAATACAATTTCAATGTGGTATAGCATAGGAAGGTGTAGTGCTAACTGGGTGAATCCAGGGCAGTTCAGGGTCTGAATAATATCAATTGCAGCTGAATTATTTTGGTGACGTAGACAAATTGTAAGGACCTCATCCCATTTGCCACCAGAATTGCCACACATTTTGGCAAATCCAGTGGTGCCCAGCCAGAGGACATGGGAAACCCGTCGCCCATGCCCTGCATTGCCCAGATTCCCCCTTATCTCATCTCACAGGGGAAAGTGTTAGCCACACAGCTTCCCACCACTGATCTCTGTGCAACACAGGAAGCCTCCTGTGTTGCCACCACAGTTTCATACACTCATTCCCCTTCCCTTTTACCATAGCGCTCTACTGGGAGTAGATGTGTATCATGGAATGGGAGCCAGCAGGCTCCGTAGCAAAATAAGCATATGCCACCAAATTCAACCTTGTCTGATGAGGTCGTAAGTCTTCTCTCCTCTAGCCATAATATATCCATCTCATAATATAGTGATATCTACTTATAGCTTGGTTT